TGGGCTTTCCTCACTACTTTTTTCTATTAATTCATTTCATAGACCACATTATGACCCAGCTGTATACCTATACAGGGATACAACAGAACATAAGATACTACATCCTCACTACACAGCCTAAGTCACTGAACACTCCCTTGAGTATAAAGTGGCTGCAGGTATAACAGTAAAAAACAAAAAATTAAAAATAATAATAAAAAAATTGCTAGCAGTTAAGATATTCTGTGTCTAAATTAGAAAATTACTTCTCAGGGTGAAGCTGGTTCAGCAATCTCTTCTCATTAAGACACGTCATCTTCTGGGAGTACCTCAGTTGCAGTGCTTTATAAAAGCAAAAACAATAAAAAAGCAATACAAAGTCCTACACTGCAGGTGGTCTCAGTTCCTGCTACTACTGTTTTCAATTTTCTAGCAGATCCCTCAATTAATGGAGTCTCTGACTGACTTTGGACTGCTTGGACACAAATGTTAGTCTTCTCAGTTCATTGCACTGCTTACCAAACTTGGCTCTAATATGCCATTAAAAGAAAAAAATGGTGGGGAGGGAGAAGCTTAAAACAAAACACAACAAAAAAACCGAACTTTCCTTACCTTGCTGGAGGCACATCAATATTTGAAGAAACAACCTTGCGCTTCTGTTCCAGAAGACAAACAGAACGAGTGTTTTCCTTTTCATACTCGTGAGCTCTGTTTGGTTTTTTGGTCTCTGCTGTTTTTAAATCTTCCTCCTTTGTGGTGAACAGGAGAAACTGTTGGTCTGGCAGTTTTTGACTGATGTCACTTTTTACATCCTCCTGTTGAAATGCAGGGAAGGTCATTTCACGCTTGATGCTGGTTGCCTGTAAAATTAAAAGCAATTATTAAATTTTCGTCTAATGCTCCTAAAATGTAGGGGGAAAAAAACCAATACCCACAGGCATTTACTTCTAATTAGCTCTTTGAATCAGAGAATACCATTTCTTTGTCCTTCAAAAATTCTGAAACTGCCATTAATTTCTCAACAGCGTTGAAGACTATCCAGGAAAATAAGCAATTCTTGTCCATTTGATAAAGCAATCAGTTGCCTCTTAATGCTAAATCAAAAAGGTATTTGAATTGGAGTATCGAAAACTACAGTATACACAACATATATTTAATGTACACACATCTGTGCCACATAACTATGCAAAAGAAACCTAGATGCCCTCCTCCTAAAATTCCAGGAAAAAAAGGCAGAATTTATCCAGATAAAAGGCAACCAAGAAATTAAAGCACTTCTGACAGCCATTTACTGTACTCTCTAGCAGCTGTATTTGGAAGTAAGGGTTTCTCCAGGATCAGAAAAGTAATTTGCTACAATCCAACTCAGCTGCCAGAAGGCAAAGGGGAGCAAATGATGCCAGCAGGATCTCCATGAGGATCCCAGCCAGCTCTGCCACCGACAGGCAGCGGTGAGGAGCACGGACACACACAGCAGCAGTGCCAGGTTGTCTCTTTGGCTGCCAGTGCCTCCCAGATCTTCAGGCCTGCTGCTTCCCACAACCAAAGACCTCCCAAGCAAATAGGCATCTTAACAAATACACTGCCTCTCTGGAATACATCATGTTGGTGTTTATAAAGAGAACTATTGCAGAGTTGCAGTGAAGAACACCAAAAGCCAGTAGAACCAACCCACTACACCTTCCCAGCAAGCAAACCAAAGTGCAGGATCTCTGTTTTCCTCTTCAACACCGTTCCCTGGCCAGCCAGGCTTCCTCAGCTTCACGGGGGCAGACCTATCTCGCAGGCTGTCGCCAGCCTCTCGTCCTGCCATACATCAGCCAAGCTCCTCCAGCCCCTTGGCCTGCCAGCGTCCTCGCGTCCCTGAGGACACAGAGCCTACCAGAAGCACCTGTAATAGAGTTATTTCTGGATATCCATGACTTTAATACCAGGATCTTCGACTGCTAACTTGCCCTAAGTCCAGGAGATGCACCAAGGAGGCAACTCCTCCACCCAACCCAGACAGCCAAGAGAAACGCGGCCCAACAAAATGGCTGCTTGTCCTGCCTTGAGCAGAGGTACTTCCATCCCACGCCACACGCACCACCTTGGAGAAATCCAGATGCTTTCTAGGACCTGCAAACTGGATTTTTAGATACTTGTGAATTATTGCTGATCTTTACAGTAGAGAAATCCGGGATGTGTCACCCTCAGGTAGTAACAGCACCAATAAGCTGGAATTCCTATGCAAACTTCCCCCTTACTCCTCCTCCTTTTCATGGTCCAAAAAAATTAATCAATGTAGATGTGTATATATTTATGCATGAAACTATATAAAAATACATTCCTCTCCCCACATATCTCCCTGTTTATAGCTTTCAAACCTTGGCAGGTATAAAAATGGTGCAAGCAATTTTTAAGTTCACAGGAAAGACAAACTTGCCAAGGTAATTTTGTTTTGTTCAGTAAAGTATAGAACATGGCTAATGCATAAACACGTGGGACTGATGATTTAATTGTCTCATTCTAGTGTTTCCACGGAAGGGCCTTTAGCAGTTGCTTCAAGAACAAAACTAGAATTGTTACTTTATGGATGTAAATAGTAGAAAGAATTAGTCATTTTACACTTCTTCACACACAAACAGATGACACATTACCAAGAAAATCTGCCTGGAAGACAAAACAGTCAGCATGTGATCACATAGAATTAGAAGACAACATATAAACAACACAAATTTAATTCTGATTTAATGATTATTTTTTTTAAAACTTCTTAGATTTACAGTAAGCCCTTTTTTGAGTGTCTGAGGATCTTAACAGATGTGGAGTTGCCTTCAATTTTCATCAAAACTGACTTAGAAGTGATGCACTAAAGCAAAAGAAAAAGCCTGAAAACAGCCAAGTTCCAATATCCAGCCCCTAGAAATTAAGTAATGCCAAGCAAAGGTATGTATAAGATTTGAATTCCATCTCCTCCATTGCCATATGGTCTTCCATTGGGTGACCACATACCTTTTCCTCCCTCCCCAGGATTTCCACCTTCTAAAGCGCAGAGGTCGGTGCTGCGCAGGGCATGAGCTGCTACACCCGCTATGCGCGGCAGGGTGCTGGTGCGCACTCATAGGAGGCAGGACCCAGCAGTTTCCTCCTCACTCTGCACAACCCTTAGCAGAAAAAGCACCAAGAGCATGGGAGAGGGGCAGCCTCCCTCCTTCCCTACTCTCTAATGCCAGCCTGAACATGGTATTCATCGGGATGATTTTCTTTTTTCAACCTAATAAACCCATGGTTTTATCAAAGAAAAAAAATTCCTCGATTTATGGAACTGTAATATTTTACTCAGTTTCAGCAAACATATTGTGCTGTACATTATTAAGTTTTCTTTATAGACCTAAATAGTGACAACAAAGGGCTTCAGACTCAGACTAGTTGTACAAATAAAGCCTAAAATGCAGAATATTTGTACTGTGATACCAGAGAGTCTATTCATATATGTCAAAATTATTCAAACCCAGTTCAAATATATTCAAATAACGGTTTGGTTTTCATATGTCAATGCGCCACAATTAATAGCCAGCCCCATGCAAGTGAATGGAAGTGAGGAATGATGAAAACCACAGAAGCAAGCACTCAGAAGGTCGCAGGGCTGCTGCCAAGCAGTTCAGGTCCTTTGTCTAAATGGCTAGAAATAGCCCAATGCAATACTTACACTAAACCCTCTCCCTCAGTTTTCAACAGATATTTGGAAACATTAACTTCTTTCTAAAATTTCCCTTGAGAGCAACTGCAGATAAAGAATCTTTTCTGCTTTAAAAGCAGGTGATCATGAGAGAAAGCCAGGAGTTTCCCTCTGTGGCCACGCACCAGTAGCTTTCTCCTGCTCCACAGACAGTTCTACTATTTTAATTAATCCATTTCTACAAGAGCCATTTCCACTTGAGACACTTGCCCTATCTGGAAGGGTACGGGGTCTTTTGCTAGAAATCCAACCACCTACACGAGCAGCTGTTGATGTGGGGAAAGCAGAAAGCCACAGTCACTTGACTCATTGGGTTCCTCCCTTTGTGACAAACATGTTGATCAACCACCAGGACCCCTCTGCTTTCAAGCTCTGCTTCACAGTTTGACGATAACATGGACAACTTCCAATATATCTTTCCAGATAAGTTAACTGTTCTGTCATATCTTATCAGGAACTTACCACCACCACCGTAGATCCTTCATATTCTTTCAACCACTTTGAAGCTTGTGGTGGTCCTCTAAGTCCATAACATGTTTCAGCAAAAATTTCACGCCAGTCAAAGCAGACGCAGCTTGGCTCACAGCCAGATGATAACATCGTAATATCCATTTATTTCAGCTTGCTTCCAATACTTCGCATTTCTCTCTCCTTAGTTGCTCTCAAATTCCATGATTATGTTGTTCCCTAATGGTTTGGCTTCTCTTGTCATTCTACCTCCATATTTGCCACCTTACTGCCTCCAGTATCAACTGCTGATAAAAACTTACACAGTTTTTTTTCATACACTTGATTAATTATCGCTCATACAAGCCATTTGATGATAGGCTAACTGTTTTTCTATGCAACTCACTGCCTATTTTCACCCTTAAGCCATGAGCAACCTTCAGTTTACTTTCAATCGAGTCCTTTGCAACCTGGCCTCAGGCAACCAACATTGCTTGGAAGTTCAGTCACAGAAACAAGATTTATAAACCATCTGCAAATTTTAAAAACTAGCTTTGCTTCTGTCTGCAATTACCCTCACTTGCCTTTGACAACTTCCCTCCCATCACCGCTGGGCAAGGGAAACTTTTGATATGCCACCGCTTGAAAAGAACAGCTCAGTATTACCCACACCTTCCCCCCTGGAGCTCATGCCTGGGGCCTGATCTGCCTGTACTCCTTCCACTGCTTCTCAGTTTTCAACACCTAACAGCAAGACCATTTCCATGAACCCTTTCAAAGCTGCGAGCTGGGTCAGAGAGTGGTTTTCCCTTGCTCATTTTGAAATATTCTTGCTCGCCGTCCGCAGCAGCACGGTGCTGTGGCTGCCCTACGCTGGCAGACCAGAGACAGGCTCTGCCTCAAGCAGGGAGTTCGGTAATCTTCCTGCAAAAACTGAAAGTCATTTCTTGCTTTGATTTCTAAGCAGAAACTTTATTAAACAAAAAAAGGAAAACGTTTTCGTTTCTCTTTTGCAGTTGTCAAGACAATGGTATATATTTAGCTTGAGGGTTTTAAGTTAAAGTTCTTGCTTGATTCATTATGACGAAGTTTAATACTCCATGTGACAGCTAAATGATTACCACAATTAATATTTTCAGCAGTATATAAATAATTTTTCATTGCAAAAGTCATCTTAACCTGCCTATAGAAACTTGTATTTGGTGGTATCTTGTCATAACCAAGCTGCTAGTCCTGAACTCCACATGCCCCAATCAAGACCACGCGTGGCAATGGAAGTCCTGCCCAAATTAATGCATGCTCAACATTAACACAAATTTTGAGGAATTTAGAGCAATTTTTCTTTATTCTTTACAGAGGCTGTGCAGACTGCAATTTTTTAACAGTTTAGACCTTAACTTATCTGCAGTCAATTTTTGTTATGCCCAAAAGCACATCCTGATAAGATGCTCACGCTGCAGTCAAACTTCAGTCAGACTTCTCCAGTTTCAGTTAAATTCCAGCTTGGATTTTGGCCTGAACAGCAAGAAAATTATTGATCAAACAGAGATCTCAAGTATTGAACCACCTAGTCAAAGGATCAGCAAACACTAGAATAAGTAGACCTATCATATTTATATGTAAATGTAGAGACTTACATTTGACAGACTATATGTCATCTCTTCAGTACAACCCTGACCAGGCTTTAGCATC